TTCGTTTCTCAAGAAGCCTCTGGGACCAAAATTATTTTTACGGCAGGGGTACAGCCTGCTCCACGCTGACGAGCGCCAAAAGCGCGAAACCCCTTCGTGCAACCTTTCTTGATTTGACAAGAAATTAAGTTGGCCAAATATCAGGAAACAGGCTAAATCAATGTTTAGTTGATTTCTGTTCCGCTAGATGACGTTCTGCCATCTGAAAGACGCCCATGTTAGTGGTCAGGATATGACTATTTTGTTTTTAATATATATGCATACTGAATATATATATATATATTTATATATTATATTATTTTTATATTAATATATATATATATGCATACCGAAAGAGGCACCTCTTCTTTTAATTGTGCAAAAGAACGATGGCACTTTGCATCACCCTAGTGAAAAAACTTTACTTGTGATGATAAAGAATAACACCTGTTTTGGCAAAATCAAAGAAAAAGACAATCTTTTATCTGAGCAATAGTTATCCAGAAATTATTTGAAAAAGTAAAAATAAAAATCAGGTAGAAAGTTTCTTTTAATTTTGAATTTGCAAGCTTTTGAGCAAATATACTGCTCTTCAATGGGCTAATACTCTATGTAAAATCTCTAAATAAGTTTTATACAAAATAATTGGCATCAGACTTTTTACAGTTAAACCTATATCACATGCCAATAACATAGGTTTTTCAATTATTTTGTATGAAACTTATTTAGAGATTGTACATAGAGCATTAGCCCGTTTAAGAGCAGTATATTTGCTCGAAAGCTTGCAAATTCAAAATTAAAATAAACATTTTGCCTGATTTTTATTTTTACTTAAAAAAATAAAATCTGTATACAATGGTTTTCGGCTTTAGCCCTTATCGGCACAGGGGCGGCTTCGATTTCATAACATTTTAAAGAGGGGTTATGAAATTTGTCGAATTTACCTAACAGGTGTTCAAGCTGGCGAAGTGACACTGGCCAACTTTCAGGCAAGATTGCGGGAGAAATAATTATGCATCAGATTGATGGCACTATGCATCACCCTTATCATAATTTAAATATGATACTTAACTCTAACTTGACAAAATACAGGCCAAAAGACACCAGGTATAGGCCGCCATAATGGACAATGATCAGCTTCACCAGACTATTACCTTCAGCGGGTCTCGCTCGAGTTATCAGACGATTTCCGGTGATTATTTTCTATTTCCTTGCGCCTGCTTTTCTTCTTTTATTTCACGCCAAGCCATCATTTCGTTTATAAATTTCAGTATATTAGTAGAACTAGAGATTATTTTCAACAAGTTATTTATTGTTGTAATGGTTCAATATGTATGTATCATTTTTTAAAAATTTATGAATATATATAATTGGATATTATAAATCTATTTAACCAAACACTACATACCCATATCGGATTTTATATTACGAAAGGTGAATGCGAAGTAATATCTCAAAATCAGAGCAAATAGAAACTTCAGTGAAAGTATATTTTCGGCGACGTTTCGATGGACTGTGATTCACCTTATTCAAGAAGGTACGGTATCACCTCCGAGACACCTGTATCTGTGTAAATGTAATAGTCAATGAACTTCTATCTCTTGAGCGCCTGTAGTGAAGGCTGACTTCTACATATGGTCTGATTCTTAACAAGAATTTTACATTGTGTCTGATTTTTACCAATATTTTACATCTGGTCTAATTCTTACAAGAATTTTTATATTTGGTTTTGGTGGTTTTTACCTGGAATTTTACAAAGGGAATTTTACATTAAAGCTTTTTATGGCGCGCTACAACCTTATATATTTATTATATATTAAATTGCTTTCCTGGCTCTATATATATATTTAATATATTAAATCGCTTTTCTCTAGCGCTATGACCTATATATCTATGATATATTAAATTTATATGGTCTTGCTCTACAATTTCACATTCTTATATCTATAAAAATGAAATCCAAAATCGATGTTTGTTATCGCGTTTGGCAAAATCTACAGAATCAATCATGATGAAATTTCGCATATAGGTAGCTGAAGATTTCGTTTAACATATAGGCTATTCAAAAAACTAAAAAGGTTAATGTGCTTTTTTAAAATGTAAAACCAAAAAGCGTTAGTTCCAGCCTTTTACGACTTGCCGCAGCACTGGTCGCGACGATATATGAATTTAATTGGTAAATCATTTTACACGCAGTTTGTTTACACGATGAATATTTTTAAAAGGTAAGATTATCCAATCGCCGTGAAACTTTAGGAAGTTATTTACTATACTACTAGTAGTACTACTGGAAAGGTTGCTGGTTTGAATTTGATTTAAAAATAAATTATCGTTGTAATTTTATTTGCAAATTTTCTACTTTCACTCGCAAGCAGCGCCTCACGCGGTATCTGGTGAAATTATAATTATAAATTGTAAAAATACTAAAATGTGTTCCAAGTATAATAATTTAATATTTAATTTGAGGATTTAGTAATATAATATTCCAATGACGTTGTAAAAAACTTGGCATTTCAATATTAATATATATTTAAAGAAAATATCTTATTTAAAATTTAATAAATGTTTTCAAAAAGTTATGTGTTTCAAAAATAAATTTAAACGCATATAACAATTTTTGTATGTTTATTTTATATACGTTTATAAATCTATATATAGGTGGTTTGGATGTTTTCTAGAATCGTTTTAACAAATGTTCGTTAGGCAAACTTTTACTCGGGTAAAAACCGGGCGAAGCCGGGTACATTCGCTAAATACAGTTATTTACAAATGTTCGTTTGTGGCAAGATACTATTCCTTCAACTTCAAAACACCGAGTGGACCAATTAATATTGATTTTATTCAACTTATCGAGTATTTTTCAAGGAACCGGGAAAAAATTATCGAGAGTATAGACAAGTATAGATTCAGTAGGAATTGGATGTTTGCTAGAATCGTTTTAACAATTGTTCGTTAGGCACACTTTTACTTGGGTAAAAACCAGGCGAAGCCGGGAACATATATACTGTATCCCTATATATAGTCACGACCGTCATGGGCGGGCTGGCCGGCCGGCCGGCCGGTTCTGTCACGGATGCGCGCGCATCATCATTATGATCATTATCATTATCCAAATAATTTGGATTATAGATTAGAAGGTAATAAGACCAAATCTACTGATAAGGTACAATTTGGAATATTAGATTATAAACACAAGGTAATAAGACCAAATCTAATGATAAGGCAAAATTTGGAATATAGATTAGATGCAGAAGGTAATAAGACCAAATCTAATGATAAGGTACAATTTGGATTATAGATTATAAACAGAAGGTAATAAGACCAAATCTAATGATAAGGCACAATTTGGAATATTGATTAGAAACAGAAGGTAATAAGACCGAATCTAATGATAAGGCACAATTTGGATTATAGATTAGAAGGTAATAAGACCTAATCTAATGATAAGGTGCAATTTGGATTATCTATATATCTACTTATATATTTGCCTTATTCTGTCTGTTTGTTTGTCTGAAGCTCACGGATGGGAATTTTCATAACCATCGGTGGTTCAGTGGTAGAATGCTCGCCTGCCACGCGGGCGTCCCGGGTTCGGTTCACGGCCGATGCATTTTTTTTTTTTTTTACAAATTTTAAAACTCATTTATATAATATACAAGAATGACATCCACGGTGCCAATTTATAATTGTAACGAATAGTATTTGAATAAAAGCATTTAATTGGGTAAAACCCGGGCGTTGCCCGGGTCATTCGTATATCCCTATATATAGTCACGACCGTCATGGGCCGGTTCTGTCACGGATGCGCGCGCATCATCATTATGATCATTATCATTATCTAATGATAAAAATAATAATAATAATAATTATTATTATTATATTATTATTATTATCAACATATATAGTCACGACCGTCATGGGCGGCCGGTTCTGTCACGGATGCGCGCGCACAGGGAGGTCACGTGCTTAGCCGGCAGCCAACGGGCGCGCGCCGCCGGCATTACGTCATAGATTATATGAGATTATAGTAGATTATAAACACAAAGTAATAAGACCAAATCTAATGATAAGGTACAATTTGGATTATAGATTATTCTGATATTTTGTATTTTGATTATTCAATGTATTCTTAAACGTTGTCAATCATGTTTTAAAAAAAGCTTTTATACTACAGAAATTCGGGTAACATCAATAAAGAGGGATTTGAAAAAAATTGAAACTACTATTATTATATCATTCAAATAATATTATATAGGTTTAAAAGTGATAGAGAGATTGAATATAATTTTATTGTGGAAATGGAAATATCTTTATTTACGGGGCTGCTAACCAAAATGGATGATTTTTGAGCCCCAATGGCCGCGTAAAGCGGAATATATACAAAGCACCAGGCTGGAGAGGCTAGAGACAGGATCTCCGTCAGGGAAGAGGCATCCCTATATATAGTCACGACCGTCATGGGCCGACTGGCTGGCTGGCCGGCCGGCGGGTTCTGTCACGGATGCGCGCGCATCATCATTATGATCATTATCATTATCTAATAATAATAATAATAATAATTATTATTATTATTATTATTATTATTATATTATTAATATTAACCATCCATCAACATATATAGTCACGACCGTCGCCGGCCGGCCGGTTCTGTCACGGATGCGCGCGCATCATCATTATGATCATTATCATTATCTAATGATAATAATAATAATAATAATAATTATTATTATTATTATATTATTATTATCATTAACATATATAGTCACGACCGTCATGGGCCGGTTATGTCACGGATGCGCGCGCACAGGGAGGTCACGTGCTCGCCGGCAGCCAACGGGCGCGCGCCGCCGGCATTACGTCATAGATTATAAACACAAGGTAATAAGGCAAAATAAAAAAATAGTGTGTGATAAGGCACAATTTGGATTATCTACTTATATAATTGCCTTATTCTGTCTGTGTGAAGTTCACTGTGTGAAGTTCACGGATAGATTTTGATCAGAATGGATAAAATAAAAAAAATTCAAGGGATGGGAATCGAACCCACGACCTTCCGCTTACCGGGCAGATGCCATGACCACTAGGCTACCCTGGTCATATTTTTCCGTTCACATTTTCATTTTTATATTTTCAAGACACACACAGTTTGGGGCGGGACGTTTCACAAAAGAGAGATCCACGGCGCCAATTTATAATTGTAACGAATAATATTTTAATTAAAACATTTTTAAAATATATACGCACTCGGGTAAAACCCGGGCGTTGCCCGGGCCATTCGTCTAGTATATATATATAGTCCAGTTAAAGCTGGAAGAGTTTCTTGTCGCACTTTTAACCAAGAAAAATCATAATTAACGAAATATTGAGCACCAATAGTTTTTTATAAATATTATTAAATATTTTTTTATAACTTTCAGTTGCACGATGAGGAGATGCCTTTTTCTTAATATTTTTTAGTTAGAAATGATGATGACAATGTTTCTCTATCATGCTTTTTGACATAAACAAAATTCTTTAGGGTAATAATCACTAAAGCAGACCACGGGCGAAGCCAGATAATAATTTTTAGTAGGCAGGAACAAAATTCTACCAGCGAAACATTCACTCGAGCCGAAGACACACGAAGCCAGGTCATCTCTATATATAAAATGTCGTTTCTAGGCCTTTTGGCTAAGATCATGTAGTATATCTCTAGATATTTTTATTCCTATATATCTTTTTAAAAATCTATTCAGTAGAGAGAGTGGATATGTTTGCTGGAAAAATATATTTTATATATTATATAAATATATAATGTAACGAATAGTATTATCATAATATTCTGTGTGTTCCGGAATATTATTATCAATAATATTGTTAGGCAAACTTTCACTCGGATAAAACCCGGGCGAAGCCGGGTACACATCCGCTAGTTTCTTTAATATATTAAGGTGCTCAAATTGAGCTACAAACTTGAATATATATTCTAGATAATACATTGATTTCCTGGCGCAACAACCTTGCAAACATCTGCAATATATTACATTACTCTCCTCTGACGCTACAACCTTGCATAAAACTACAATATACTACATTGCTCTCCTAGCGAAACGGCCTTGCATATCTACAATATATTACATTTCTCTCCCGCCATTATAAAATTGAAAAAGGAAAATATATTACATTGCTCTCCTGACACTACAATCTTTAAAAACTACAATATATTAAATTGCTTTCCTGACACTACAACCTTGAAAAACTACAATATATTACATTTCTCTACTGACACTACAACCTTTAAAAACTACAATATATTACATTTCTCTCCTGCATTCCAAGCTTGCACTACTACAATGTATTACATTGCTCTCCTGGCGCTACAACCTTGAAACCCTACAGTATATTACATTTCTCTCCCCTGGCACTACAACCTAGCACTACTACAATGTATTACATTGCTCTCCTGGCGCTACAACCTCGAAAACCTACAATAGATTACATTTCTCTCCCCTGACACTACAGCCTAACACAACTACAATGTATTACATTGCTCTCCTGTGGCTACAACTTTGCACATAGAGAATATATTACATTATTTCCCTGTCCTTATAGCCTTGCGCACATCTACAATATATTGCATTACTCTCCCGACGCTACAACTCTCCTGACGCTAACCTTGCACACACGTCTACAAAATATTACATTGCTCTTCTTGCGCTACAACCTTTCATAACTGCAATACATTACGTCTCCCTCCCTACAACCTTACACACATAACCAAGTGTGGACAAACCTGCTTATGTCTTATTCTAAAAAAAAAACAGACGACCGGCGACATCAAAGGCCTTCCAATTCCTTAAGGACTTGTTAGCTCGGTAATGGGTCCTGTAATCTCGCTCCTAGGCATCCTAAAGTCCTAATTTCCTATAATTGCCTAGATAGAGGTCACTGACTCTTAACCATGAAAAATAGGACGCGACAAATATTTTGAGAAAATCTGATATTTTTGTGTAAATTGTCTGGAATTACTTTGTGAAAGTACACTATCTTAATTTTTATATTTTTATTTGTTTTAAGTTTGTTTTAAACTCTCAGTGAGTTTGTCTGCGAAACTTGTGAAGCTAATTCGACTTATTTGCACCACATCCATTTTGCTAGAGTTTTGTGAGCACATGAAATGAGATGTTATACGGAAGAGTAAATATATTTCTCATATTACACTCAGATATAATTGGTAAAAACTTAAAATTCGATGTCAGCACATTTGAAAATATCTATATCGAGGCGGCCTAAATATTTGCCTGTGATGCTTAAATCGAAGCTAATAGTCGCAATTTTAGAAATAACATAATTATTTTCGAATGATAAAAGCAAGGCTTTCAGATTTTTCAAAATAATAGATGCTCAACATTCACATTGTTCAGAACAAGCTCTGATCACCATATAATTGAAAGAGAATACCGCTTTGTTATCAATTTATTCTCAGCTAATATAAACTCAATATTTACAAAGAATTATATATCGACTTGACTCTAACAAGAACGACTCAACCCGACTCACTATTTTGATCTACTTTATTCACTACAATCCCATATTTATAGATATATCATCTTCATATTTACACAATAAATTCATTTATACGATCATTTTTCATACTCAACGATATTTTAACAAGATTACAAGTACAGTATGGTGATGATTGCATGAGCAAGTCAACACTTTATTTATGGCCTTCTAAATATAAACCGGGGCATGTAAGTGTTAGCGACACTGAGACCTGCGGACAACCTTCAACCTCTACTGATGAGCCCCAGTGCAAATTTATAAATGGAGAAATACAGAAAATTCGGCGAATAAAGATCGATATTATTTCAAAAAAAAAAAAAAGAAAGAAATAAGCCATGGATCTGTTAGAAATTTCATACAGAAAAATTTTAAAATGCCATAAAGTGTCATCACGTTGGGTGCCAAGGCAACTGACCGATGATCATAAACAAAATCGTGTAAGTGTTTCAAGAGCCCATTTATCACGATTTATAAGAGAAGGAAATTATTTTCATACAATATAATTACTTGTGATGAGACCTGGCTTTATCATTTTGAACCAGAGTAAAAAAGATCAATGGAGTGGCGACATTCAATTTCCCCAAAGCCAAAAAAATGTGATACTCAAGCTTCAGCAGGCAAGTTTTAGCCACCTTTTTTGGGTTTCAGAAAGAGTAATATACATTGATTATTTGGAATAAAAATGTATAATAAATTCAGAATATAACTATAATCTGCTTAAAGATCCAGTACGTGAAGCTATACGTCGAAAATACCAGGAAACTTGGTTGGGAAGTTTTGGTACATCCTGCCAATAGACTCAATCATGCTTCCTGTGAATTTCATCTTTTTACACACCTTAAAGCTGCTCTACGTGGAAAAAGATTCTCGACGAATTTGAAGGTGGAAAAGTTTGCACAAGATTTGTGTAGGGAACAACCGCAAATCTTCATTTCTCAGGGATTTGACAAGCTAGTTAAAAGATGGAATATATACATTGAAAAAGACGGTTATTATGTATAAAAAAGTAAGTTTATACTCCTATAATTTTCAATATGGACACTTTCCTAAAACTTATTGACTCACCCTCGTATTTTAAATTATAAAATAGAAAATTTAATTCGAATCTATGTAAAAGTTTTTAAAATTTTATTTCATATTTTTAAAAAAAGTGCTATTGAAAACGCCTCAGGTATTACAACAAAATCCTTTTATTGAGGCATTTCGTCTAATACAGATTTTCCCGGATTTCAAGAAATGATAAAAGAAGCAAATAAGTATCAAGAAGTGTGAACATACAATCACAGCTATATACAGTCTTGGTGAAAGGACATAACAATGTATTCTAGTCATCTCTTGCCTCGGCCTATACTTCTCAGTGTCTATATCACTTCGTCACACAAGTTGAAACATTAAGAAGATAAGGGTTATTTTTTTGTTCGAAGCGACATTTTCTTATCAAATCTCACATGTGATTACTTAAGGATTAGATATAAGCTTTTTGATACAAAGTTGAATCTATTCTTGAAAATATTGTCGGTAATCTTCTCATTATTTTTTCGTATTTTTCTCAATTGCCCCATCCCCTCTCATTTAACCTAAAAACGACACAATAAGAAATTATAGATACAATATAATTGTCTTTAAGAACGAAATACTTGAAATACAATAAAGAAACTCTTTCCTCATCAAGTATTTCGTTCTTAAAGTTTAGTGAAGGAATTATTACTTCAATAATTGTCTTTACCAATAAAGATGTGATAAATTGAGGTCATCTTAGACATCTAGTCGTCGAAGTTCTCATCAGTTCATTATTATCGCAGAAAAAGAGAAATCCAAGACAAAATGTAAATACGACTAATTGGTATCCAATGACACAGTTACCAATTAAAATACGATTACCTTATTTACAAGTCGTTGTTGGAATGGGCTGAATAAATGGCTCTACTGAATAACTAAGATTTCTACATTATATCGTATATAAAGTTTAAAATTTATTTTAAAAAAATAACCGAAATATGTGTCACTGTGGCATTGAAAAAGCAAATTCTCGGTATGGTTAGTTTTAAAATAGAACATTTAGGGCGTCGTTGGCACATTTTTTTGAAACAAATTCCCTGTATACGAAAAAAAAAAGGGAATTAATTTGCATATTAGACAAAAGAAGTGCATTTATTATAACATTTTCCGATTCGTAAAGGTAAAATAAAAAATAGAAAAAGGTCAGGTGTAGGTATTAAAATCAAAAATAGTCTATCCTGACCACGTTCACATTAGCATTTTTGAGAATAGAGCGCCATCTAGTGGAACAAAAATAAACTAAACATTTATTTAACTTATTCCGTGATATTTTGCCAACCCAATTTCTAGATAAATCAAGAAGAGCCACCCACGTACGCGTTTCGGACAGTTGGTAACCGACTAAATAAAATCGACCGTTTCCGCAAACTAGAGGACTCGAGTCAGAGACAAAGCCACAACACCAGATTTGGAAAACTGAGAAGCACCAACCTAAAGACCATGGTTTCGGGCAATTATTTTCGTCAGTTCAGGGCAGGCTTTATTTAATGA